ACAGTTGGTCCTTGTTTTTTACGTGATTCATGGTTATTGTGGATTACAGCCCCTGATAAGAGGCTTAGAATATCTTTTTAGCCTCTTTTCCAGACAGGTTGTATGCTGTGTAAAGTAAACCATAAAGTGCAGGGTTAATTTATGTTTTCTGTATTTCTAATTTCTCTCTTGGGAAGTTGATGGGGTTACTGTGTCCTCAGTATGCACAGCAAAATAGAGCTGAAACTTGGGAGCACCAAGTTGATGAAGGCTGTGAGCCTAAGCCAACTGCAGATTAGTGTATCAACAACTGCAACTTTTTGCCCTCTATAAGAATAGCATTTTCAATTTGCCTTAGCTTTATATTTCCATATCATGAAAATTAAGTGATTCCTCCCAAAGAACTTTTGTTATTAAGGAGTCAATAAGTAGGCCTATTTATCCAATTTCTTGATTTTTTTAAAGGTTTTATTTTCATTACTTGTGCTTATTGTTGCTAACATAATAGTAATGATGATAATAATGATTGTAGTAATAATATTCACAATGATAGGGCCTATTAATTGATTTCATGGTAACTTGTAAAGCTATGTGTTAGCTATGTGGTATACAATGTTCACACACACTTTTACATACATGTTTGTTGGTAAAACTTAATGATATACCTGCAGTGAGTAAACTAATAGTATTTACTCTCCTGCAAGATCCTTTCCTCCAAGAGTGATGCTTATAAGTTATGCGGAGGCTATATCTGAATTTAATGAGTTAAACTTGACATACCTGTAGATACTAAATGGCATAGATAATACAAGTAATAGAGCAAATGGATATAATCCTCACTTACAAATCTTAACCCATTGCCACCGGGTTAAATGTACTATCCAATTTTATTTTTTGTGAAATTTGTTTATACATAGATGACTCCATGAATGCTCAGCCACTAAGAAGTCTAATAGACTCCTTAGTCACACATACAGTGGTCCCCTGTAGAGAAGTAAACATTTCTCTGGATAATGTGTAAAATTTTAATGAGGCATCATTGTTAGTTGTAATATATACTACTGATTTCTACAGTACAATTGCATCTAATAGGATGTAATAATCACTGTTTAGAGAATCAAGTAATGGGCTTCATAGTAATTATCATCTTTCTCTCTCGAGCTTGGGCGAAAGACAGCAGTGTCGCTCTAGGCAGGGATTTTCATGCATGATCTTGTAGGCACGGCCCACATGAATATGCAGCATAAAGAATCCTTGCCTCCTTGCTATTAGTATTTAGCCAATGGATTTCATAACAGCAATAGAAGGAATATCATAAAAGATTTGTAATGAATCTTGAATACTTCTCTCGGTATTCATAACTGGCTAGGGAATTCCTCTTCTAATATTCGTTTGTCGGGATTTGAGTATTGGCAATTATATTTTGTAATGGCGTTAAGAAAGAGGATGAAAAAGAAAAACAAATTGCATAGGACTATTAGAAACACTTACGCTAATACAGTCAGGAGGATATCACTCTTTTTTGTGCTTTAAATATTTGATAAGCCAGACTTGGTGATTTTTCTTTTTTCTGAAACTGAATTTGTTCTATTATCAACAAATAAAGCCAGTTTAAAATAGTAATGCTGATTGAATTGCTATTTGAGGAATTTGGAAATGTTACATTATTCTTATTTCATTAAAATTTCTAAAACTGGGGATGCATCAACTCCCTGAAGTGTCGAGGTAGGGTTTGGTGCCAAAGAGGCGCATAATCACTGATCTTTATAGAGGATACGGTGCAATTGTTCAATTGGAAGTTACTTGCCCTGTGATTGCTCCTAATAGGATGATATTTTAAGATTGATGCAGTTCATCACCACTAGGATAGAATATTATAAGAGTGAGTGAGAGTGAGTGAGTGAGTGAGAGTGTGAGTGAGAATGTGTGAGTGTGAGATGTTGAGTGAGAGTGTGAGTGAGAGTGTGAGTGAGAGTGTGAGTGAGAGTGGAGTGTGAGTGCGTGAGTGAGAGTGTGAGTGAGAGTGTGAGTGAGTGTGTGGTGAGTGAGAGTGTGAGTGAGTGAGAGTGTGAGTGAGTGTGTGAGAGTGTGGGTGTGAGTGTGAGTGAGAGAGAGTGTGATGAGAGTGTGAGTGAGAGAGTGAGAGTGAGTGAGAGGTGAGTGAGTGTGAGTGAGAGTGTGAGTGTGAGTTGAGTGTGAGTGAGAAGTGAGTGATGAGTGTGAGAGTGTGAGAATGAGTGAGAGTGTGAGAGTGTGAGTGAGAGTGTGAGTGAGAGTGTGAGTGTGAGTGTGAGTGAGTGTGAATGTGTGAGTGTGAGTGTGTGAGTGAGTGAGTGTTGTGAGTGTGAGTGTGAGTGTGAGTAGTGAGAGTGAGTGTGAGATGAGTGGTGAAGTGAAGTGAGAGTGAGAGAGTGAGAGTGTGAGTGTGAGTGAGTTGAGTGTGAGAGAGTGTGAGTGTGCAGTGAGAGTGAGAGGAGCTGAGTGAGATGAGTGTGAGAGTGAGTGAGTGAGGAATGACCGTGAGAGTTGAGTGACCCATGAGTGACCAGTGAGTATGAGTGGTGTGATGAGGCGAGTGTGAGTGAGTGGAGTGAGTGAGTGGGTGTGAAATGTGAGTGTGGGTGTGAATGTGAGTGTGGGTGTGAATGTGAGTGTGGGTGAGAGAGTGAGAGAGGGTAAGAATGGGTGATAGTGGGTGAGAGAGTGAGAGAGAGTGTGTGTGTACAAGAATGAGTACACATATGTATGCATAAACATTTTATTATGTATACATACATATACATGCATACATATTCATGTATACAAATGTATACATTATATATACAGACATAAATACATATGCATACATACATATACTTATACATACATGTAGATACATATACGTACATGCACTTATATATACGTATATTTACTTACATATACGTACATGCACTTACATATACTTACATGTACTTACATATATGTACATGTACTTACATGTATTTACATATACGTACATGTACTTACATATACGTACATGTACTTACATGCATGTACATACACATTACACATACATATATACATATATACATACATACACATACACATACAATACACATACACATACACACACATACATACACATACACATACATATACACATATACACATATATATATATATATATATATATATATATATATATTATATATATATATTATATATATATATATATATATATTATATACATATATATATATTATATATAATATATATTACATACATACATACATACATACATACATACATACACATACATACATATATACATATACCTACACATACATATGGCTACATATGCATACATATGGCTACACATACATATGCATACATATGGCTACACATACATACACATACTTTTACCTACACATACATGCACATATATATACATACAAACATCTACATACATACATGCATAGATACACACATAATGATACATACATAGATGCATACATAGATGCATACATACATAGATGCATACATCATACATACGTACTTTTATAGTTTCGTACATACATACATACATACATACATACATACATACATACATACATACATACATACATACATACATACATACTTGTATAGTTTCATACATACATACATACATACATATATACATACATATATACATACATATATACATATATATATACATACATACATACATACATACATACATACATACATACATACATACATACATACATCTATGTATATATACATATATACATACATAGGTATACATACTTGTATACATATGCAAATGTAAAAAAAATTATATACCAGGAAGTAGTTCAGGATCTGAATGGTTTACTACTTCAACACTTTGAATGTGTGAATTTTCTTCTCTTTTTCAGCATTATTTGTAAAGTTAGATTGTAAAAAAATAGTCACTCAGCTTCAAGAATTTTAGTGTAAGTTTTGGACACAGAAGGTTGGAAGTTATCCAGCATCATAACAATTTGCTGAATATTTACCTTTTTCACAGATTGCTGAAGATGGCCGAAGAAGAGAATGTAAATATCGAGCCTTACGAGGAGGAGGAGGAGGAGCCGACAAACTACAAGCCTCCGCCAGAGAAGAGTCTTGAGGAGATGATCAACCAGGACCAGGACGACGAGTCTCTCCGCAAGTACAAGGAAACCCTCCTCGGAGGCTCAGCTGGTGGCGCTGTTGTTGTGGGTGAGTTTAAGGGGTTGCAGTGCGTTAAGATCATTTGGCTAACCAGAACCGTGTTTGATTTGGGGATCAAGAAATGCGGGATGCACTGATATTTCATTGAGTTTCGTATCATGATGAGTGCTAATGAGTATTGAAGCAACATGGCAGACTAGGGTCCATATGACAAGATAAAAGTATGAATAAAGGAGAAATTTGTTAGCTCTTTGTAATTCCCTATCCAAGCATAATTTGGTTAGCTTCATGTAAATCTTTTGCATGGAAACAAGGAGTGCATGGTTTTTGAGGAAATAATTTCTTTTTCCATAAAGCATATGTAGATTCCCTTACACGTACAGATAAAAGAATATAAAAATTTATATGCTCATGAATGTATGTTCAGATGTATTCACATGCACATGGACACACTTCACAAAAAGGACTGTGTGGTCTCTTTTCATTATCAGATATTTGAGAAATAAGGGGTTGCAATATCAAATTAAAATGCACATGTATGTTTTCTTTTTCTTTGTTACCCATTGGCATCACTTAGCATTTTATTTTCCATCTTTTAAGAAATTTACTTACACACCAATGGCTTAACAAGCAGTAAGATTACCTGGATCTTGACCCATTGAGCCCATTCCTTGTTATTTTGTGGAAAGTTTATTTTTCATACTAATATCATTGTAACCAATGATGCCAGGTGTATGCATTGTACACTTTGTATTTTATTAGATTGAAATGCACCTATAGGCTACACAAGTTTTATCATTATGAACCTTGCAAGGGCAAGGATGGTGCCTTCTTTCAAATGGCTTTTATTTAGCAGGTAGAGACTGTTACCCGAGTGGACACCCCTTCTAACTTTGCACCCTGAGCAGTGTTTGAACCCAAATTCTGGGTGATCCTCCTAGTCCCCAGCCTTATGCATTACTGCTGCTCCACAAAGGCCCCCCACAATAATGATGGTAGTAATTAGAATGCAAATTTTTCTTCTGAAAATTCAGGGAATTGTGTAAATAGATGAAGGTAGGGTTAGTCCCTTATTCCTGAGTCAATGTGCACCTGCTGTAGCCATAGTCTGTAAAGAAATTATTTAAACAACCCATAGTGGACAGTGCATATATACATCCCCTTCTGGCATTAATTGGTTTTGTTTGGCTGGTGGCCCTTTTGCTTTAATAACCCTTTGCAGCCACTGAAGCATTGCATGGAATAGGTTTTAAAGTATTAAAGAGACCTGTGTCTCAGCTTCATAATCTCATAATGAATTTTTTTATTGAAATAATGCAGGTTGAGCCAGAGTGTTTTAGTAAATTTCAGTTACTTACTTTTGCTTTTAAATATGAGGTAGTTTTTTATGAGTTCAGAACCTGTCCATTATTGTTTCTCAACAGCTTAGCAGCTTTCTTTCCAGTATGACAGTGTGTTCCTTTTTATATATTGAAAAGGAAATGGATTCAGTATGATCCTTAAACAGTGGCATATTTATTAGCATATCTTAAAAATGTTGATAGGGAATTTACTCTTGCCTGATACATTTATCTACCAAATGTGCCCCACCACATCATAATATCTGCATGTTTAACAGTTTTTACTGACAGGTGAAAGACTTAACATCTGCTGTGTGTCATGTTATTGCACACCTAAAGCAATATCTTTTAAACCTTCCTGTACTTGTCACTATTATGTGAATGATTTCTGCAAGCAAAATCCCTTTTTTTTATTTGATAGAAGTTCAATAAGTAGAGTCCTCATTTCTGTTATGTAGGAGGGAAGTTGTAGCTGCAGGAGGGGATTTACATGAGTTACCCCTTTCAGCAGATTATGATCCTATGTTTTCAATTCAGATTCAGAAAGTGATGACTTTTTTATCACATAATGTGTAACTACTCACAGCACCTGCACCATTTAGAACCATGTGATAGCAACTGTTTAGCAAACACAACTTAGAGAAGGCTTGACAGGGTATGATATGATAGGACATCACTGGCATGAAGGATGGGCTAAGAAGATAATCAATAGTTTCAGATTTATTTTTGTATTTCCTATGTTAGGACTCGTCTATTTTATGACCAAGGGAATGATAACTGAATGCTGCTTAAGGAAGCTTCTCGATGTGAACAATATGGGCCTGTTCTTGCAATTTCTGTTGTGGAAACATTTTTTACATAATTATTGCCTTCTCCCACAAAAAAAAACTAGTGAGATCTGTATGGAATCATTTTACAATCTAGAATGGCAATAATTGGAGACGAAAGAATAGTTTCAAGTATCAGCAAGCCATTCCTCTGTCAGAAATGGACTGATGCATGATACATAATGTAACAAGTGTTGTAATTGTATCATCAAGGAGGTTTTTTGTAATTGTATCAAGGAGGTTTTTGGACATGCAGAACTAGCAAGTGATGAGGAAACTCACTGTATATCCATTTCTTTTTTTCAAAGGAAGTAGTTGGGACTGGCAGTCCTTGGGAATTGAGTGTTAGAGCAGTGCCTTCCTTATATTACTATCCAGACAGAGTCCTGGTCACAGTCACCTCTGGCTACCTAACCTTCTATATTGCTTTCATTTCAAATACACTCTGCCAAACTTAACTTCAGAATGTTTTGAACAGTTTGATAACCGCATATTCATATTTAACAAACTTGGTAGTGAAACATTGCCCACATATCATCACTGCATGCACAGTATGGTAGAATTTGTCTGATTTTCCTAGTTCCCCAGATGGCGTGCTTAAACTTGGTCAAAATGGCAATAACCCCTGATGTGAGTCTGTTTCCAGCCAGATAATGCTAGTGACTTAAAAGTTACCTGGTGTCAAAGATGTAAATATGCGTTTGTTTTATAAATTTCTTTTGATTATAAATGATTGTTTATAAGTATGGTTATAGATACAGATATAGATATAGATAGATAAAGATATAGGTATATATAGATGTAGATATATATACAAGTATATATAGATATAGATAGATATAGGTATATATAGATATAGATAGATGTAGATATATAGACAGATATATGTATATTTACTTTATATAGATATATAGTTTTAGTAGATTTTTGCAAATACAGATTTATAAGTAGAAGCCCACATACATACATATACATATGCTACACATTCATGGTTGCTCAGTTGATAAGGTTAATGAAGGGAAAAAGAAAATAAATGAAGCCTTATTTAAATTTAATTCAAAATGTTTAATATCTGGAGAATGATGCCTCTTGCTTGCAGAAACTTCTAACACATTAAGTACTTGGGGAAAGTTGTCATGTTAAAAGCATTTTGCATGTCTTACCAGATCCCAGTAACCCAAAACGTGTGCTGGTCAGGAAGTTAGTGTTGGTTGCAGAGGACCAACCTGAGATGGTGCTTGATCTCACCACACAATTGGATACTCTTAAGGATAAACCATTTACTATAAAGGTAAGTAGTATTTGTCTTTCTGTCTATTTACCTGTATCTGTCTGTCTGTCTACCTATTTGTCTATCTATCTGTCTGTCTATCTGTTTGTCTATCTATCTGTCTGTCGTGTCTATTTAGCTATCTATCTGTCTGTGTTTATTATTATTGGTAGACAGAAAAAAACATGTATATACATGTATATATTTATATAGTATGTAGTAGTAGAAGGTCTGTCTGTCTCTGTTTCACTATCATTGTCTATCTGTGTCTATCTGGCTGGCTGGATGTCTCTTTCTATCTGTATTGGTTATTCTATCTCAGTCACTCTGTCTGCCTCAGTTTATCTGTCTGTCAGTCTGTATGTTTATGTGTCAGCCTCTGCCCATATGTCTCTCCATTGCTGTGTCTCTAACTCTTTCTCCGGCAGTTTCTCTTTCTTTCAGTTCTTATTGTTTATTTTTGTGTAGGAAAGCAAATATGTCTATTTTAATGCTGATTTTTTCCTTGTGCTGCAAGCAAGCACTGCTTTAATTGGATTGTGATAAGATTCATTGGTCCTTTTTATTTACAGGAGGGCATTAGCTACAGGATTCGCATTGAATTTCATGTGCAGCGAGAAATTGTGACTGGACTGAAATACATCCAGCGAAGCTATAGGAAGGGCATTGCTGGTAAGTAGAAAAGAATGTAAACCTTAGAAGTTGGCATAAAGATTCAACTTTCCTTGTTTGTCCTCACTTCTCGCTGAATAATTATATGCAGCTGTATTGCATAATGATACTATTTTCTTGATACCCACAGTGGACAAAATGACACACATGGTTGGATCGTATGCTCCTAAGGAAGAAATTCAATCCTACACGACACCCATGGAAGATGCCCCCTCGGGTCTTATTGCACGTGGGCATTACACAGTCAAGTCCCTCTTCACCGATGATGATGGCAATGAACACCTGAAGTGGGAGTGGTCCTTTGACATCAAGAAAGATTGGAACTGAACACTGGCAGAAGGTGTAAGGCAGTGAACAACACGTAGAATGGAAGGAAGATTAAGAGTGGATTGTATTGTTCAATCAGGGAATAAATGAGATTTTTGGCCTGTTTTATATTACTATAATGAATGTTTGAAGCATGGAGAAAATATAGAAAATTAAATGAATTTATGTATTTTTTGAAGTCATCGTATATTATGGCCAAATTGTGCCTGTGTTGAGGGCCTTGATAGTTTGGTAAGCATCAACAATAACTAACATTTCTGTAGGTAAGTGTGGTTATATAACTATATAGCATATCCATAAATGGAATTGTGTGCTCAGGCATTCAGTGACAATAGGATTTATCATATAAGCCTTTTTTAGGTTTGTTTTTGCTGCCCCCTTTCTTTTTCATATATATGATTGGTCATTGTAGGCATTCCCAGTAACTTGGAGCAAAAGGTGACTAGCTTTTCTTTCCAACAACCAAAGCTGTACTGTCTAGGGTTACTTCATGGAGATGACAATTAGAGTAAAGTATTATGCATTAGATATAGGAATTCAGTATGATGTTTGATTTTTGTGATTTACCAGTGATACTTTGTCACGTACCCCTCATGGTTTGTTGCCCATAACAGCATTGAGGCTGTCAAGGTGACTGGGTGAATAATACGCACAATCTAGAAGTGTTCCCAAGGCTTCCCTGTTGGAATGGTGTTATGGAACTTTGTACTGGTACCAGTGATTTACCCTATCCAATCCTCTCTCACCTCTTTACGTCTTTTCTCTTACAAGGCTTTTATAAAAATTCCAAATTACGTGCTCTTAGCATTCCAAGCATCTATAGGTAACAGAATTGTAATCCAGTTATTTTCGTGAAAGGAGCATTGCATGAAAAAAGGTTGCTAGATGTGAAATATTGTTGGATCTCCCTTTGAAATTGTATTTCCATCTCTCCTTTTCATTATCAGATTAGCAGTGAGAGCCAGATTTAAAAGCCAGGAGACTATTGTGCCATTAATAGATAATAAGGATTGCATGATTTATTTAATAAACAGAGTAGGGAAAACTTGTGTATTGTAAACCACTTGCTCAGAACATTTTCCTTATATTATGTCTCCTGATACAGTATTGAAGTCTTACTAGTCATTATTTGAAAAAGATCTTTGCTTCATCAAAATTTTATCTTTAGATGAGTCACTGTACTTAAGACAGAGTGATAACAGGAGACTGTACAGATCTCTTAATAGTTTAGTAAAAGAAGAGCATTTTTACAATTTTCATAAACACAGTTATAATAGAACCAAATAGGAAATGTACAAGCTATTTCCTTTTTTCATTTATTAATTTTCAGCATGTGGTTTATAGGCATAGGTGCTGTATGTAAAGAGCTAAGCCACTATAGTTTGCGTTAACTTAGAGATCAGAATCACACCATAGAAACATGGAGACCTGTTCATGAATGATATGCTTCATGACTGCTCAGTCTTCTGATAATTCCTGGGTCTGTGATAAAAATGTTTGGTACTAACTTTCTTACTTGCTTTTTTCACTTTTTTAACGGCTGTAGTTATGGATGAGGGTTACATAAAAAGGTCTCGGTGACTTTTATGTTTCCTGTGACATGGCTTTGGTTTGTTTAGTTTCCGGTAAAGAAGTAAGGGTTGTATGAATTGTACCTGCACAAGAGGTTATTCCTCATGGTGTTCTTACAGTAGATTAATGTGATTATTTTAATCATGGCTGTTTTACTGAATATTTGCATTTTCTTGTGTTTCAAGTTTTTTCTGTCATACAAGATTGATGATATCGAATAGTAATTTTGCAAAAATTTGTTGAAGGTATTTAAGCTTGCTGATAGGACTGTATTGTGTGATGGAACTGCTACGAAGAGGAGTACATGTAGGCTGAATCGGGGAAACTTGTTGATTTATTGAGTTTAGATACCTGTCTAGGTACCATTAGCTAGGCCTGTAACACAATACTGTTATCAATAATACTATATGTGCGATGATCCTGTTGCAACAATGTAAAACCATTCATAAGTAGATGTGACCCAAAAGTCAGGTTTAATTTTTTAAAAATTAAGCGTTTTTATTAATAAAGGATTATTCTGAATATTGAGATTAAAGAAATTGTATATTGAACTGAATTGTTTTTGCAATGAGTTGTCAATGAATATAGGTCAAAATAAATGAAATGGGAAGTGTAACCATCTGCTCTAAACACTGTTAATTGAATGAGTTGACAGTAGGTTGAACTAGTATCTGCAAGTAGATCATTTATGTAACACCCACCTTGCAGTACCATTTGCTGAAAGAATAATAGTGGGGGCAATAAACATTTTTAATTCTTCTTGATTTCTATATTTGCCTTTGTATAATGTATAAAAATGTAAAATGTAAAAATATATGTACAACCACAACTTTACATATTCTCACATATCATTTGATGCTTATACTTATTTTACATGTGTATTAAAAAAAAAAAGCTGGCATAGGCACACACAGTAACCTTCATACTGGAAGTCAATATGAAATTTCAACTTTCAGAGATGTATAAGAGAAATTATTATAAGGAAATTACATTGGGCCAAATATGATCTAAAGAATTAGAAAAGTTGGAGACAGTTACTGCATTGCAACATGTAATAGTAGGGGTTACCCTCAGATTTCCATTCTAATTATATTAGAAGAGTGCACGAGTTTTATTCTTTGTGAATAGTCTTGTGTAACTTTGTTTGAGACATGAAAGTGATGGATCTTTCCCCTTCTAGATGGATACGATGCTGTGTCCCAGCCACCCAATTCATGCATTCTTAACAAAGTACTTAGGAAGGACGATGGCTGGGAAAGATGGAAAAGCCATGTTAAAGAAGGGATAGAGTAAAGGGAAAGGAACGGAAGATGGGAAGTAGAAGGATGTAAAGGTGATTGGTAAAGAAGGCAGGTAGGTGGACAGTGTGAGGGATGGGTAGTGGAGTTTAGAGAATGGAAAAGAGGTAGTAGGGAGGAAGATTAAGTGAATAACGGTTAGGTGGAGGTTAGGAAGTAGACTTGTACAGTAAGGGAGGCTGAGGGAAGAGAGAGAGTGGGAGCGAAGGAAAGAAAAAGTAAGGGATAGGAGTTGGCAGAGAACGTGAGTGAGTGAGTGAGTGAGTGAGTGAGTGAGAGAGAGAGAGAGGGTGAGTGTGTGAGAGTGAGTTTTGAGTGTGTGAGTTTGTGAGTTTGTGAGTTTGTGAGTGTGTGTGTGTATGTGTATATGTGTGTGTTTGTGTATGTGTTATGTGTGTGTGTGTTTGTGTGTGTGTTTGTGTTTGTGTTTGTGTTTGTGTGTGTTTGTGTGTTTGTGTGTGTGTGTGTGTGTGTGTGTGTGTGTGTGTGTGTGTGTGTGTGTGTGTGTGTGTGTGTGTGTGTGTGTGTGTGTGTGTGTGTGTGAGTGTGTGTGTGAGTGTGAGTGTGAGTGTGAGTATGTATATGTGTATGTGTATGTGTATGTGTGTGTGGGTGTGTGTGTGGGTGGGTGGGTGCGTGTGTGCGTGCGTGCGTGCGTGTGTGTGTGTATGTGTGTGTGTGAGCGAGCGAGCGAGTGAGTGAGAGTTAGTTTGCGTGCACAGAACTAGAATGCTAGAACTACGATGCAAACCAGGGACTGTCACATCGGTGGAGCTGAATACTTCCAGCAAAGACAGCGACCTCCTGCGTCCAAGATTCTTGACGCAATTAACTGGCTTGTCCGATGAGTCTCCAGGCGATTGAGGATTTCGTCGTGGAGGACAAGGCCGAGGCATGCTACAGTGATGGAAGAGTGTTTCAGATATAAGGAATGTATAATACGCTGTAAGTGCGCATAACCATACTCTAGTGAAGTTGCTCTTGGTTGCTCGTTCTTGGACTTACCGGAGCAATATGTATTACTTGTCTCTGATGTCATCGGAACCTTCTGTCCAAAGGCCGGAACTTGCTCCGTTTCAAGATAGCTAAAGTCTTTCCGCCTGTCTTCTAAAGGATTGTCTCACGTAAAAAAAACCGTACAACGGACACTCACACCCTCGAGCACGTGCGCACGTACACGCAAACGCACGCGCGCGCGCGCGCGCGCGCACAATGTAAATGTATGTAAAATGTATAATTACGATGCTATTCCAGTTCAACAATTGCAATGAAATAAGGAATATTGATCATATAATATAAACATACAGTCATTGTTTTGTGAGCTGTAATAAGATATTTTTGTCGATCCTTTAAAACGTGTGATTTGGTTCTCCATTATTCTGTGAGAAATTTCGGGGAATTTTCCGTGAAATTCTGTTCGAGGCAGTTATTGATTTGTGGGAAAATGGCTTCTGCAAAATGGCAACACTGTTCTAAGCGCGAAAGTAAAGGTGTTCATGGTTTGTGGTGGTTGAACAACTGCACTTTCTCCAGGTGCAACATTTGGAGCAATTTGAGGTCGGTAGATAGATGGACAGACAGGGAGGCAGACTGACAGACAGACAGACAAATAGATAGGTAAAGAAATAGATAAATAGATATCTACATACACTCACATACTCATATATAGAGAGAAAATGAGAGAGAGAGAGAGAGAGAGAGAGAAAGAGAGAGAGAGAGAGAGAGAGAGAGAGAGAGAGAGAGAGAGAGAGAGAGAGAAAAGAGAAGAGAAGAGAAAGAGAGAGAGAAACCCAAGATTCAAACTGAACAAGTAAATTCAGACAACGAAAACAGAGAAAGGAAACACAAGCTTGATTCAAAGGCTTCTTTTTAACTATAATGCTTCTTCGTGGGGTATACAGAAGGGATACATAGTACATATACTGATAATAACATTGATGTACACACACAGAGTAACCGCTAAATACAATACTATCGCAAATATCAACATTGCGAAGAGTACCATTACCTTACATAAATTGTTATTGTTTTCAACATAATTGTTATTGCTACGCCAAGTATCTTTCCTTAACGTGTTTTCTGAAAAAAAAAACAGTTTGCGCAGTCTGTATAATGTGTTTACTTTGTTAATAGATGCACGATGACGCTCGGAATGGCTAAATATTTATCCGTGAAATGTTCTGACGAGTCTAAACACGGGTGCTTTATTTTGCATATTGAATGACTCAGAAAAGGAAGATGAAGGAATTAATAATAATAATATAAAGACGAAGGAGTAAAGATGATGAAGAAAAATGAAGAAAAGGAAAAGGAAAAAAATAACATTGCCATTATTATTATTATTATCATTGATATCATCATTATCATGATTATGATTATTCTCATTATAATTATCATTATTGATATCATTGTCATTATCAATATTATCATCATTATCAACACATATATGAGTGTTGTGCGCGTGTGTGTGGATCATGCGCACATACATTAGACCAAATATGAAATACATTCGTTATCCCTCTTAAATCACTTCAGCAGAGGAGTCTTCAGAGATCCTTCTCAAGGCGTGTTTGTCCTTCGGCTGAGCTCTGGTATCCTGTCTGGACGAGGATGACTACGTAGGTCAGGGCAAAGCTAGCAGCCTGCGGGGAAAGGATGTGAAGAGAATAGGATGCGCAGAGGGAAGGATAAAGGGCGTAAAGAGAAAAGGAGAATTATCGTCTGTTCTTACATGTCCATTTGTTACTTTGCACAAAGTACTTGCGCGTCAACAACATTACAGAAACGGTCTAAATGATGCGGGATTTTTTTTTTTTTTTTTTTTTTTATATAATGAGTAGTTGAACAGAAAAGAAATTCTAGTCGCATGTTCCTACCTATAAAGTAGAAATCCTTGATCTAAAAAAATGCAATTTTATGTAAATTTACCTGTTTTAAAGGTGGTTTTGATAATGAGGGAACATGAGCGGGAGATATATACATTGAGTGTAATAAAGTGTTATTGGAATTAAGAGGAAAGTGTAAAGGCAACAGTCTAGCCTGCAGATTTTGCTGATAGCAATATGGCGAATCCGGTAAGTGTGTGTGTGTGTGTGTGTGTGTGTGTGTGTGTGTGTGTGTGTGTGTGTG